TATATATATATATATATGCGCGAGAACGTATCAAATTGACGATCCCTCTAAATTTGAAATCACGAGGATTACGCTGTCCGATATCGTCGTAACACCACGGTCACGGGGCGTTAAACTCACATTGGAACAGCGGTGCATCGATTTTGGATTACGGATGTTGCACGGTGAATACTCCGCAATAGGCGACATGCCGCGGAAAAATTCTCGCAGAAAGGAGAGCATCGTCCGTAAATAAAATATTTTATAATCCGCGCGCTTATCAACTGCGTACGCGCGAGCAATTCGCGGAATGCCCGTGCCGGACAAACGTTATTGTATTTATTCGACGATCAGGAAGGATAATCCTTATATATATGGAATATTATCCATACCGTTGCATCCCAGATTATTCTACGTCTTTTCGATATTCTGTGTTCGGTATTATGTATATATATCTAGAACCAATACCGATCAACGTCTCATACGAATATGTTTGACATGTCTTATACAATTCTGATTTATACGGAAAAAACGATCTTATGAAGTATATAAAAATTTAGTTAGATACAAATTTGAAAATAATTTTATTGAATTATCAAAATAATTATGTAGAACTCTCTTAATCTTTAAAGGACGAGGATCATTCTTTTAATCTTATAGCTTTTCCTTGAGTAAGATATGTTATAATTTATTTTATTTTATTGTAATTATAATTGCCTTAAACTATGACACTTGTTCGAGCGTCACTATAATGGTTGTAAATGTTAAGCGTTGAAGCAATGCTGTAAAAATTGTAACATTCTACCAACCAGTTTTAGCGTCTTCCATAATTATTTCGATGGTTTAAACAAAATTATTTTCAGATGTATATCTAGCTAAATTTTTATATACTTTAGAAAATTGTTTTTCGTGTATCACTCGTGCAATTGCATTAAAATATTTTTTACATATTTTTTCTTACTTTCTTCGCATGAAAAACTGTTCGGATACTTTTCTGTCTGATTTTCTGTTATTTTTTTAATATTACAGAGAATGCCTTCAGACGGGTTGAGTTATAGGATTAAATTCGGTGGATATGATTATATTCGTAACCTGCGATCCCTTTATTTTTACGATTTCGATTTGGTGTTCTATCATGAACCAGATCTTTTTCGTCAATCGACTACGGCGTGACTTTCAGCAATTTTAGAAGCAATCGAGAGGAGTATCGTTGTTACGGAATACAATCTAAAAATATGGTTTCAGGATACTGACTCGCATATCAGTCCTTCGGGGTGAAAAACATTATCCAGAACGAGGTGAATTGATCAGAAAATTATTACCTGATAAATGTTAAGAATTATTGTGCGCTTATACAATTGGAAATTTAATGGAAATGTATTGATTCGCTTTAATGTACCGAAGAGTCTTCAATTCTTTTGTTTTATCAATATTAGCATTAATGCAGGTAGAACTCGTAATTGATTTTGTAATATTTTTCCTTACTGTCTATTAATACGGAATATAGATTTTCCATTCCTATTAATATTGCATAATTTAAGAATTTAATCATATGAATCGAATATTGAATAATGTAATTGTGCACTATTACATTTAATAGTACAAATTGTTGGAATAAAATAGATGTGAAAAGATTCAATAAAGTTCAGAGTAATAAAATTCTTTTCTCTTATCCTCTGACAGTTTGTACTCAATAAGGGCGAATTCTTGGCGAGATCGATGTAAATCTTCCCTGGAATTCGTTGCGCGCGAAGGTGTCTGAGATTTATACGAGAGGTTGACGGGAATTAAATATTACCCGTTTTGATTATATTCTCATAGGATAGTCTTTGTGACATAGTCTTTTTTTAGTCGTTTCCGAGTTCCGCGCAAGAACGGAGTGGTCGGTTCCAACTATTTTGGTTACGCAATGAACCTGTCCGGACAGTTCTTTTACTTCGCATAATGAACCCTTATTCTAGAGACGGAAATTGTTAAAGATGCTCTATCTCTTTTATTTTCTACCGGTGGTACGCGTACTTGTCATCCACGAGCGTTTTCTTAGCATAATTGCTGAGATGAGGTAGAATTTTTAATAATAAGGAGGAAGGACTTTATAAAAAGGAATTTGCTATTCTGTAGATAAAATGCATTTTAAGTAGATAAAATATCAGGTAATGCAGAGAGAAGAAGGGAGAGAGAGAGAGAGAGAGAGAGAGAGAGAGAGAGAGAGAGAGAGAGAGAGAAGAATATATAAATTTTGAGGATTTAAATGCCAAAAAATTGGTTGGGATAACATTTTTATATCACATATATTTGGATGCTGAGGCAGAGTAGACGCAGTATTGATCGAGGGATCCAAATTTCTTGATACGCGCAATGACACTCTCGCGCATCTCTGACTGCGTTTATATGCGGAAGGGTCGGTCTTGTGGAAAGGGAGAGTGAAAGAAGGGATGAAAAAGTAGCCTCGCTGTGTTTATCGCACGAGATGGATGATGCGGTTATTTTACGAATCGAACAGTTTTGAATCGCCGATGCGAGCCGAATTAGTCCGAGCACCCTCGAGCGAGCCTTGCGATCGATTCGAAATAAACCAGAGGTTTCGCACTGTTGACCTTCCGCCAACCTTCTCTTCCCCATCTCAGTCTCTCTCTCTCTCTCTCTCTCTCCCCTCCCTCCCTCCCTCCCTCCTCCTTTCTCTCTCCTTTCCCTTCTCTCTCTCATTTGAAAGATCCGTGGCTTCCTCCCATGAGATTGGCGCATCGTCCCATATTTAATCAAGAACATCGCACCAAGCTGATATAAAGTCCAAGCTCGCATCTAATTCGGAAGCTGACATTACGCGTGAACTGCTATGGGATTTCTGAAATTAGCCATGTGAGAGCTAGGTTAGAGATACAAATTCGAGCAGGAGAGATTATGCATAAGGAAAGTTTTGCAAACTGTCTACTTGCCAGTTTCTCCCTTTCATAATTAGAAGAATTAATTATTTCCATTGTAAGTTTTCAAGCAAGTTTTCATTAATTTCTACGAATTCTTAGAACAGTCTTTATTCTGATTAAAAAATGATTAAGGGTTTATTCTTTTTATTAGGATTCCTCTGTCCACTTCTTCACATCCAGGTTTCACATCCAACAGACTTTTGATGACTTCCTGATTGTTGAAAGAGAGTTCATGTGGAGATCCTCGACCTACCTTTTAGAGAAGAACTGGTAGAGAGATCGACGCAGGACTGTTGTTGTTTTTCTTCTTTTTCCTCCTTTGTACAACCTCTTTTGTCAGGAGAGTAGATGTACTCTTTGACCTCTTCGGAGGTTACGAGTCGTCTCGTTTGTTCAAGGGCTGCTTCTTATCCTCGCCTCACCGCATCGGAGCAAACTTTCCCTCGGGACGTCGAAACCACTGTATGAAATCGTGTCGACTGTAATTACGGCGCTGAAAGTATTAGTTGGATTCTTTCAACGAAGTTTCTCAAGCAACAGACATGTTGCTCTCTCCCACGGGACTATAAGCGCAAACGTTTGCTCCCATCTCACGATTTACCAGATATATGTTGCAGAAACAACGGCGTATTGCGCTACTTTATAACGTCCGTTACATGATACTCTCCTCAACAAAAACTTTCGGACTAGACGAGAGAGTGGTGATCATTCTTACTTGACATTCTTAAAGCGTGCAATAAAATAGCTTGATGGATGGTTGCAATAAAAATGGAAATTTTAAGAAAACTGAGAAGATAACGTTAATAGAGAAGATAATAATAAAATTATTCTTAATTTATACACAGATATAAATTTATCAATTATTTGTGATAGATTTATCAACTTCTTATTGACTTGTTTTAATAGTAAATTGATAGTGTAATTGTTGCAGATCAATATTATCGTGATATGGTTGGATTAACCAAATGATCAGTTATCTCTTGTCGATATTTTCTCAATATATAACAGATTTCTTGTAATAAATAGAATATTTTAAGTTGCGTCAGAATTTTCTGATTGCCTAGCTTTATTTGTAGTAAAGACTGTTAGATGAATGTAATTAAAATAAAGTTCGAATTTCTGTCAACTGCAGCAGGATAAGCTATTTCTGCAGAGCGCCGTTAACGTGGAGCTCTACATGATGGTAAGAAGTAGAACTATACCGGATGCTGGTAGTCTCAGATCTTAAATAGAATCATATAAACGCCAACGATTATAGGCCCATCTAAGCAATGGTTGCAGAATTATAATTGACAATTTGCTAGATGGCGTTCCTAATCTTTTTTAACGGTTCTTTGGCTGTGCAAAGTGAGATATGAAAGTATGTCTCATCGCGACCGGTTTGTCAAACAGAATTCCATATCGAGATTATAGAAACATAACGCGGCACTTCAAAGGATTATGTACATACGTGCATAATCTATCGCATTTACCTT